TATTATTTTATGATTATTTGTTAAGTTATAAGTTATAGAACTTATGGTACTTTATATCCAAGTGTGCAAACAATTTTGATAACATACATGAAAATGATTTTCTATCAATTCTCATACATTTAAGAATTATATTTCTTAACTTATTTGACTCTGACTTTTAAACCGACTCTATATATAAAATATACAAAACTCAAATGTTGGTCTCTTTTTACATACAAAATATATTTCATGATAAACTAAGTATACTATCTAATTGTGATCTATTAACAACAATGTTATGAAACAAACGAGAAAAGGCTAAAAACATTTATATCCTTTCAAATCGTAGAGTTGTGTTCAAAATCTTACAATCTGTATTTTATAATATCTTATAATAATTTTTGGCATAAATCCTACTTTTAAACCATTCTTCTAAATAATGATATTTATGTATTAAACAGGAATAAGAAATAATACATAACTCATATTACATTAGGCTTTGAAAATGAGATATAAATCATCATTTAAAATATTATTCTTAGAAAAAATACTTCATATGAGAGAGAGAGAGAGAGAGAGAGAGAGAGAGAGAGAGAGAGAGAGAATGAAAGAAAGAAAGAAAGAAAGAGAGAGAGAGAGAGAGAGAGAGCTATTGTTGGCCGCAAACATTACACTCATTTATATAGCCTTACAGTTTGACTATTGTTTCGGTTGTGTTCAGCAAATTCTGTGCCCAATATATGCCTAACGTCTCTGTATTTATGGCAAAGAATTATATGAATAGAGATTAGGCACTGATTTTGGCCGAAAACCCGGTGTTTAAAAGAGAAAGCGCGGGGTATTGGCAGTAGTGTTGTTGTGCCGCTCTTTTATGAGCTATATTTTTAGTCATTCCCTCCCTGTGTGCCACTGGAGTACGTGTTAGCCGCAGAAAAGTAGTGTATTTCCAAATAGATATATAACTTATATTTGAGTTTAGTGTTGTTGTGCCGCTCTTTTATGAGCTATATTTTTAGTCATTCCCTCCCTGTGTGCCACTGGAGTACGTGTTAGCCGCAGAAAAGTAGTGTATTTCCAAATAGATATATAACTTATATTTGAGTTTCGAGTGTATTGTGCGCCGGGATGTGAGGAAAGGGAGAACAAAGCGAAGGGCTCTCATAAAAGCCATTATTAGGCCTCTCATGTTCGCCCTAACACTATGGCGTATACTGTATATTGTGTGCCAATCCGTAGGCCTAGCACTGTATGAGACACAGACAACAGATCCCAGAATCAGTCCATTTCACTGCTCACTGATGATCATTACCACCATTTCGTTGATATACAGTTTGAATCGTCGATAGTCTCATACTCGCAATACATATCTCTATAGATGTTGAGCTCATATATCATTTTAGAAACTCATATAAGAATTACTAGTTTTTGAACGACTCAAAGACATATAACTTATAAGTTATTACATGTATTACTAGTGATAGAGAGAGCAAGGAGAGAGAGAGAGAGAAAACGAAAATTCCTTTTCGCACCGAATGATAAAGAAAACCGAGAGAGAGAGAGAGAGAGAGAGAGAGACTATTTCTCTCTCATCTTAAGCTCTGGCCATAAAATTGAAGCTTTAATCCTAATGTAGGGGCAAATATGTCAGCCGATAAAATGTACGAATAATATATATTTTAAACACCAAAACATATCATNGAGAGAGAGAGAGACTATTTCTCTCTCATCTTAAGCTCTGGCCATAAAATTGAAGCTTTAATCCTAATGTAGGGGCAAATATGTCAGCCGATAAAATGTACGAATAATATATATTTTAAACACCAAAACATATCATAATTTTTGCATCTCATACGTAAGCACTGTATTTATGAAGTATTAGTTTTGTTGGAAATTTTTAGTTATATTTTTTATTAGTTTTTAATGTTTTCTTGTCCTAGAAAGTGTACAACAATTTAAGTGGAAAATCCTTTTTATCTCATAACAAAAAGCTTTGCGTATATAATAACAAATAAATACATGAAAAGAGCAAAATATATAAAGAAATTGAGTTTTTTTAAATTTAGAAACAATTCTTGAATTTTTGGGCTGAAATTGAAATATGAGTCTAACGTAAGAGTGAAAGAAAAATATATATATATTAAACACTAATCTCTTGAAAATATGTGCGTTTCATAAGTGCTAATACCTGAGCCAATCAGTCAGGTATTAGGGCTTACTTTTGGTGAGTGTTGGCCACAATCGTAGGAATTTTTATTGCAAACACACAGTGTATACTCGTTACAATGAAATACTAGATAAAGTTAATACAATATTGCATGTAACAAAGAAAATACCGTATACTCGCTATCGCATAATATTTTGATTACATGTAAAGCCTATAATTAAATGCAAATTCATTATAACTAGAGTAGGAAATAGTTGTTAATTCATAAATATTTGTTCATAATATAAGTGATTTCAGTTCACACATCATTCACAGCTTCATAATAAAGGAGAGTTCACTATAGATGTGGTATGAGTGCCAAAGTATACCAAAGGAATCGACTTATTATAGCACATAGTGTCAGACGATGTCTAATAAGCGGAACATTATTCTCAATAAGAATTATTTGATGCAATTTTTTATCGATTTATACACGAAATGATAGGCTATTAAGTGTTAGTCGATGCGAGATGAGAGAGAAATACCCCTAAAACCTACTGCTCCCTGTAGGCATCCCTCTCCAACTGCGGCAAACATCAAAGCATCTCTCTCTCTCTCTCTCTCTCTCTTTCTCTCTCTCTGAAATTTTTATCGTAAGTGAATGCATACCTTTCACTCTTGAAAAATATACTGTAGCTTCAAATAAAAGTTATTCACAAAAATATTACTTTTTTAGTGAATGTTAAAAATATTCTTCGTTTGATAATAAACACAAGTTTACTCAAAATAAATACATTAATTGATAGGAAAAATAGAGAGAAACTATTAAAATTATACATAACTAGTGATAAAAGTCAGAAAATTATTACTTATGTATTACATGAGAGAGAGAGAGAGAGAGAGAGAGAGAGAGAGAGATCCATTAGTTGTGTTTAAGAAATTGGTGACAGATTTAAAACTTATACTTTTCTACTAATACTACTTTGTAATGCCAAATATAGTTCATAAGATCTAATCACTATTTCTCGACTAATTTTACTGGATTTCAACAAATTATTAGATTATTCTTCTCACTAAAAGTCTTCGCGAGATTTCAATTAGTTTTTCTCAATTTTGTACTCAATTTTCTATGTCTACCTGTCTATTGGTGTCCAACACATGGCATTCGTGTGGGAAATGGATATATGGATGCACTGTAAATGTGGTGTATGGTGTGGACAGTCGGTCATTCGTAAAACACGAGTCACCTGCAAGTGTCACGGTGTAAGCGGCTCCTGTAGCCTGGTCACCTGCTGGCAACAACTCTCCAGCTTTCGAGAGGTAAGTCATACGCAAACATATATAAAACTGTCCCATAAATGTCTGGCCCTATAATAGGCACATAACTTTCAGTTTTGTTTTCCGTACCCTCTCTGGAAAGTGATTCACAATTTGTACAGTATTTTCTTAGTATTTTGGTTTACAATTGATTTGTTTTAACAACAAAAACAAAAAACCTTACGTTTAGGACAGAAACACTACTAATACCCCACAAAACCAAACGCTTATTACAACATTGAATGCCTGTCTTTAATGGACTTTTTTGTCTGTCTCTCATATTTCTTGTGTAACTCAATGGCACGTCTGACCCACCGCTACGACTGGACGCAATCACCGCAACAAACCCCTCAACAAACCACTAAAAGGTCGGAGACTTTCTCAAAGACAAATACGACGGCGCGACTGAAGTGAAAATAAATAAGCGATCAAAACTGCAAATAAGAAACTCTCGATATAGTAAACCCACGACAGAGGACTTGCTATACATGGATGAGTCGCCCGACTATTGCATCGGTAGCGATGAGATGGGATCGTTTGGCACTCGCGGCCGCTCTTGCAATAAGACATCCCCCGGAACTGATGGATGCAATCTCATGTGCTGTGGGCGCGGGTATGCCAGTCCTCACCCGACTATTGCATCGGTAGCGATGAGATGGGATCGTTTGGCACTCGCGGCCGCTCTTGCAATAAGACATCCCCCGGAACTGATGGATGCAATCTCATGTGCTGTGGGCGCGGGTATGCCAGTCCTCCTTACTATACCTTTCCTTAGATACCACTCTTAACATGACGGTTCCTATGACTAAATATAGAGAATCGTAAATATTAAGCGCATAATAAAAAAAAAGTTATTTTATTTGATTATATATTTTCGCAAATATAAAGTTATATTCAAAATAATATTATTCTTATGAATGAGAGAAACAAAAACATAGAAATAAATTCTTGTTTGACATTCGGATAACACATATATAAATAAATTTTTAAATGAATGTATAAAAAGTCTATTCTCGGAGTTCAACTAACTCTCTATACTCGGGTGTAAAAGTTTATGGAGAAAATGTGTGGAAAATAAATAAATATCTATTTTTATTGTGAATGAAAATTATTAATAATAATAATATTATGATTACTGTCTCACACTATCTGTATATCTCTCTACTAATAGCTATAACACACATAAGACTGTGGTTAAGGAGCGATGCAATTGCAAGTTTCACTGGTGTTGTTATGTCGAGTGCAAGACTTGTACCAAGACTATGGACATCCATACATGCAAATAGAGACC